CCCAGGCTCACTAAGTCTTAACCACAGGCTAAGGGAGACTGCATGCTATGGCTACAGCAAGCCACATGCTTTCTGACTAGTTAGCCTGGTCACTGGCAAGCAAATAAATACCAGCCAAGTTCCACTTCTCTTTCTCTCAGTACAGGCACTAACCTGGATCTCCCTAATACTGAACACTACATTTTCCTCAAAAAACATGGGTGAAATTCATAATTTTGTGACTTTTTACCTCCCCCACAAACATACCTGAAATGGTCCAGAAGGTTCAAAATCACTTCTGACACAGCAGAAAAATGGGCTAAGCCCTTTCTTCTTCAGCAACCAAGCTGAAAACAAGTACTCCACTAGGCTTAAGCCAGTCTTTCCCTTTTACTTAACGTGTTCACTATCTTTTAACACAGCATGCATTTCTGTAATAAAAATACTTTAAAAATCCAGAAAGACAGGCAGTCCTTTTGATTTTAGTTATCACCCTTCAAAAGCCTGTCAAGTCACACAGGAAATTATACTCACACTTGCTACTTAAAACCACATTGAGTTTGTAAAACACAATACCTCAGAAATCATTTTCTTCTCATCTCCTTCTCCATCCTCCGAGAGGTCAATGAAGAAGTCTTTTCCACAGGGAGTTTTGTCAATGAACCAGCCACCTTCGGAGATGCGGGTTTCAACTCGTGTTCCTGGCAAGTGGGTGCTTGTCTGAGGAGCTCTTCGCACAGGAGGGGGGGTTTCCATTGCTTCAGTTTTTGGCGTTGTTGGAACAGAATCAGGATTTCCTTTCTTGTACAAACTCAGCAGAGAACTGTTCATGTGATTTGTAGACTGCAGATTCACGTATTTTAAAGAAAACACACAAGTTACAATTTGGGTTATTTATATTAAGAGACCACTGAAAATTTTCATAAACCTGGGTCAGCGTCCTCACTGGATGTTAGCGAGTCGGCCCTCACTGGGCTCCCAGTGTGCTTTCCTCAAAAGGCATTCCCCCACCACAGGTTCTTCCTTTTTCTTCAGAAAATAGCCTCTTTTTAGCCCTGTAGATTCTCAGTTGGAATTGCCAACTCTGGCTATACCTCATCTTCATCTCCACTTTTAAACTCTCCAAGTGCATTGCAATTTCACAGCATAGTATCACGTGTTATGCAAATACAATCATAATAAAAATACAACTTACTAGATCTTCTGGATAATCATCATCATCAGAGACATCTGTGGCACTTCCTGCAGTCCTTTACAGGGAAGGAAGGCAAAAAATGTATCAGAGCAGAACTGCAATTGAGACATAAAACATAACCAGTGCCACTTCCACAACATGGTTCCCCACAACCATGATACGTAGAGACTGGACAAAAACTCCTGACTAGCACACTCTAAATTTACTACTATGAAGAGTTAAAAAATGCATCCTTTCCAAGCCTGCGATGAGTTGGATCAACTTGGTAACCTGGTTGAAAGACAGTTCTAAAACAAAGTGATGTGAGATCACTCCGGTTCAGTTCACCAAGAGATGACACAATCACCAATGCTGGCACAAGGGAAGTAGCAGCACATCACTGCTGAACTAGACTAGTCCTTCTAATTACAATGTCCTAATTTCTCGGGAGACCCTTAATATCTGTCACGGATTAGAGAAAACAGAATGATCCATGAGACTATGCACAGAGTTAAGAGTTAGGAAATCACAATTCCAACCTCATAACCAGTGGCAATTTACTCTGAATAGCGTGTCTTGCAGTCTTATCTCTCAGATTTAGCTAATATCTCCCACAACCAAGAAAGATTAAGAACAAAACAAAGGAACTGAATCACATGAGGACTGGGGCCTTATTTGGAAAACTATCAAAAAAGCCCCAAGGATGCCAACTAATCTATTCCCTGTAACAGAGAAATCATGATTGACTCGAGTATCTTCTCATCTTCAGTGAAACAAGTGCCTCCATCAACTACAGGTAACTTCTGATGAAGACAAGCCTATGGGAAATCGAGGATCTATCAGTAATCTTGAAACTACCAAAAATTAATAACATGAAGACAGTAAGCTTTAAAGAAATGGTAATATTATTGGCATTATGAAAGTAATCTAATGGTAAAAATTCTTACTCGTTTTTCTCTTGTTGTCTTGCTCTTTTTGCCACATGTTCAGCTTCTAAAACTGCTAAATCTTCACGTTCTTTTTCATTACTGATTATTCCAAATACTGAAAGAAAAAGTTCAAACACGGTAAGAAAACAGCCAAAGCATAATCAAAGAATTTGGCATCTTGGACAAAATACCAACAGAACTACCTTTTTCCACTTGTATTCTAAAAGCATTTCTTTTTCTTCGTCCATATTCTGTACTGAAAAAACACAAAAAAAGTAAGCAACACAACTTCTTATTAAAAACCAACTATGTGAAAAAGCGATTGTTTTTTCTCTAAGCTTGGAATAGCTCAACCACTGGGATGAAACAAAACCACTAAACTATACTGGTCTCTAAAGATATATTTAGTAAAAACTATCAAGGTCCTCTTTAACTGTGGATATAGAGAAATGAGCAGACTGTATTCTATTTCACAACACTACTGACTTTTTAAATTTTAATTCAAACAAGAACATGTGGATACAGGACTATGGTCTAGAAAGAACAGTCCAGCAAGAAATAACTGTGATAATCAATAATAGTCACTATGAGAAAATTCATTAAGCATCCTTAACTGCAAACAAATATCATCAACCTTTTATCTTCACTTCCTAAGAGTATATTTTATTTATTTGCTTTTATAAAATAGCTGACAAAGGAAAACCAAACCAAACCAAAATCCCAAGACCCGTCAGCATCCTAAGCAGGGGATAATCTTGCCATTTCAATCAACCCCAACAACTGGTAATGAAGCTAACATTAAAAAAAAACATTAAAATTCTGATTAAAAGTACACAAATGCAAAAACAAAACAAAACAAAACAAAAACACATTCTGTATTCTGAGTGTAGAATATAAGAACACAAATCTTTGCTTACCTGTAGGTTTTCTGCAAATCAGATGCTAGAATTCCAATGTCAACATACTGGCCACATTTACTACTTGCGAGATACTGAAATGAAGAATTTTAAGCAGCAAATAAAATAATTGTCAATCACTTCAGCAGAACAGCTAGATCAAATATGACTATTTCAAACTCTATGCTTAGAAGTCAAAATGAAAATCAGAAACAGCTTTGAACTGCCTTGGAACACACTAGACAGTATTTCCCACTGAAATAGGAAATCCTTGTTAAGACACAGGTAAGTAGCCAGCTCTGTTCCCCTGGGAAATGAGTGCACTGTATTTTAGTGCTTCAGTGACTTCTGCTGGTGCAACTCCATTGCTTATATTCAATAAGAAAAAACCTCATAACTCACACACTATCTTATTGTCAGTCCTTCTAAAGTTACTGGTTTCTCTCAGTTAGCCTCTTTTTGGTTTGGATCTCTGATCTTAAAAATGAAACCATCTACATCAATTAGTATGGATACTGTCACAAGAAGAACTTTAACCTTTATAAGATGTTAAGAAAATACTGTAGAAAAGTATATAAATGAAAGTGAATTCTATCTTTTTTTTATTCTGACAGCAAACACAATTATGAAAACTTGAGAAAATGCACTAAATTTCAACTGTAGTCCATTTACTTTCTTCCCCCACTCTCCAAATTAGGAGTGAGAAGGAGTTTCAATGCTATAATGAGGGATTCCTTCTTAAAAAAAGAAAAAGATGACAGAGAATCTCCCTAAACATATGGTATCACAAATACCAGAGCAAGGAGTATTTAAAAATCTCATTTAAATTAATACCTCTACTTAAAACAATCAAATGTCTTAAATTTGAATACAGAATTATTTTTTAAAATGATGTTACACTTCATGTCACCCATGGGCAGCTACTGACCTGCAAAAATATCAAGCCTATCATGAATCCAGCCAGCTCTTTCACTTCAGAATAGTCAAGACACAGTCACTGTGATCTTGTAAAGGAAAATAAGCAAGGTCCCTCAAGCAGCTGCTCACATTTTAAGGAATTAGAAGCAGAGTAGCCTTATACACAGATGCAGAAAAATGGTGTTTACTTTGCAAAGTATTTGCACCATAAATATTTGTAAAATATAACACAGCAGTATGACACCTGAAGGAATCGCTCTTCTCCCCACTCTTGACCTGTGTACTGTGGAAGCAATCACCTTTTTGCCCTTTCTTAACTCATTTAATATGATCGATGCACATGTTTCCAATGCAAACAATTCCAATTTACCTATATCTACCCAGACTGCTTTTCTTTTTCTTTTTTTTTTTGACTATTCATTTCACCCTTGAAATAGCAGTCAGCTTCAGGATCAAAAGTACTGAAGAGAATGGAAGACAGTAAAAAAAAAAAAACCAACATAAAAAGGAGGGGGAGAAAGGGAGGAGGGGAAGAGATCTTTTTAAAGGTCTTTTTAAACCCCTGAGAGCCCAGGCCAGGTTTGACTCCCGCTGCCGTCCCCTCCCGCACCTGAGCGGGCCGGATGCTCAAGGCCGTTTCCAGCGAGCAGACGGGAGGCGAGGCCCGCCATGCCGGCGGCGGGGAGCCCCCCGGGCCTGCGGGAAGAAGGAGGCCCGCTGCCCGCCCCGGCGGGTACCTGCTTAACGCGCTGCTTCAGCCGCAGGTCCACGAAGTGCCCCGGCCGGCTCCTCATGGTCGCCCGCCGCCTTCCCCGGCCGAGGGCCTCCCCGTCAGCCCAAGGGCTGTCCTGGCGCCTCGCCTGAGCGGAGAGGCCGGGTGCCTCAGCAATACCGGGAGACCGACCCGGCGGCAAGGCCTCGCTCCGGGCGCTGATTCACCCACCGGGTCGCTAATTAAGTTTCAAAATCGGTCAGGTCCCCTGTCAGGCCGCAGCAACACCCTCACGGCCCGGCCGCCGTCCCTGAGGCGAGGACTCCATTTCCCAGCATGCCGCGCGGCACAGCGGGGCCCGGCCCGGCCCTTCCCGGCCGGGGAGGGGGGACGCGGGGCGGGGCGTACGGCGGCCGGGAGGGCGGCGGCCGCGGCGGGATGGAGTCGGTGGTCTTCATCTTCTCGCTGATTGACTGCTGCGCCCTCATCTTCCTCTCTGTCTACTTCGTATCCTTCACCTCCGGGGCCGGGAAGGGGAGGGTCGAGTCGGGGTTGCCTCCGCGCCCGGCGGCGACCGGGGTGGGCCGGGCCCGTTGAGGCGCCGCTGAGGGAGGGCGGACGGGCGGGCTGGCTGGGGCTGGCGGTGGGTTGAGGGCGGCGGGGCCTGAGGGCCTGACCTGGGTCATGGCCGGGGGTGGGTTTAGGGGCGGCGGGAGCGCCTCGCTGAGGGGAAAAGGCGAGCTATTCAGCGCCTGAAACACGCTGGCCCCTCCGGGGGCGGGTGGTCGGGGGGGCTGCGGCCGGTGGTACCGCGGCCGGTGGTACCGGTAAATCCACCGCGCCTCGGCCGCCCTGGCCTGTGCTCGGCGGTGCTGTGGGGAAAAGGGCGCTGAAAGCCTGTTTCACACTCTCAAAAAACCAGCCGGGCCTGAAAAAGAATATGGCCAGACCATAGTCTCTTAACTGTAAGGGTACCTCACTCTATTTCAGCCCATAATCTCTTAATTGTAAGGATACCTCACTCTGTTTCAGATGCTGGCTCCTGGCGGGGAGCCTGCGGGTTCCTCGACAAACACAATTTCCATATTCTTTGTTACAGACTTGCCTGCAGTTTTTTTTTCCTGCCTGGTATTGGTAGAATGTCAAAGCACTGATTTGGTTTTTGTTTGGTTTTTTTGATAAAAGAAAGCTGGCTCTTGTACTCTTTCAAATCCTGTTGCTATATAAGAATCTGCCCAGTGCTAATAGAAAAAAAAAAAGTACAGAAGCACTTGAAAGAAATACATCCTAGAAGGATGGGGTATTTGTTGAAAAGTGAAAAGCCTTCACCTATTTTTTTTAGGGATAGAAAAAAAAATCACCTGCATTTTTTCCTTTTTTTTTATTTTCTTGGAGAAAAGGAGCATAAAGCTTTACAGGACATAGCATGATGATGTGCACAATGCGTGCTAAGCCTTTTTTGAGAGGACTTTTATGTCTGAAATCTTTATATATTGATCACTGAAAGTTCATTTGATAATGATGTGACCCTGTTATTTCCTAGCAAAGGATGAATTAATCCAATGTTGCTGTAAATGGTAAAAAAAAGTAGATCCACTTCTCAGAACTGCACTATTAGGCTTAAATGTGAGGAGATTTTTAAAAAGTATATTAATTTTTTCTTCCTTTTCAGTTCTGGTTTCAAGTGTTATAATAATAATTCTGATAGTAAAATATTGAGTTTGCCTCCTTGGTCTTTTTAAAGTGTTGCACTGAACTTTAGCACTTGTGCAACAGTTGCTGTTGGAAAAGCATAATAAAATCATTTGGGCTTGATGATAAATGGTGGCCTAACTTCCTACCTGAAGTCGGAATGAGTTATAACTAATTGAATGCCTTTGGCAACTCAGCTGGAGAACAGTCTATGCTGAGAGCAAAGTGGTCTCCCCAGCTTATTGGATAAAAATAAGGTTTTGTGTATTCTGAGTTACCGTACATTTTTTTCCTTATCTTGGACTTCAGATAATTACACTGTCAGATTTGGAATGTGACTACATTAATGCTAGGTCATGCTGCTCAAAACTCAATAAAGTAAATTATCTTTCTTTGCATTTAATAGGGGTTTAAGAAAAAAATCTTCTATCTTAGCATAACAAATAATGGGGGGTACAATGTATATCTGAAGAGACTTGATTGGCAATATTTTGCATGTATCCTTTATTTCAGTCTGCTTGTCCTCCTCGGATGCCCGTCTTTCAGCAAATTCAGTCACAAAAGGCTGTTCTGGCCCATGGTGCTCCGAGCCGAGCTGTTAGTCTGAGTTCCTGGGACTGAGACTTAACTTTGCAGAGCTCCTGAGTTCTGTGCTTTATTGTTGTAGGGGTGCCAGGCCAAGGACGTCCGCTCGTGACTGAACTCTGCAACCTTTGTAGCAACTTTCTGTGGTGCTTCTGTATAATTTCTAACCTCTCTTGAACACTTAGAGAGATTTAAAGTGATAAGGAAAAGTACAATTTTAACCAAATTTGCTTAAAACTGGTTTCATTAAATCAGTGTGGCCTTAGGTGTTCTCTTTGATGTAAAGGTATTTTTGTAATGTAAGAGAGAATGCTACAGGATACTATCAAGCCAAAAATGTGTTATTGCCAGGGGCTGACCCAATTTATTTATTCCAGTTTTCATATTGATTCATTTCATGTGTTCCAAGCCTGAGGTTGTTTGTATGTCCTGTGTCTGTGCAAATTTTAATCATCTGCTTCTCTTGTTCCTAAATCCAATGTTCTCTGCAGTGATTTCAAATGAGCACTCTATACTTTCTTAACTCGCTTTCTTAAATGCTTGTGTAATATCATTACATTCAAACACAACTTCTTCCTAGAAATTTTCGTAAACCTTAGATAAAGCACCTCTGTTATATCTTATGGCCTGATTTCTGGCTTACTCATGTCTCGAGGTATTCATTTCTACGTATTCACAATTTCACAATTTCATGAATTTTCTTCCTCCATGAGTTTTCTGTCTGAGTTTGATATTATTAGAATCAGATGATTCTAATAATAGAAAGACATATAGATCTCCTTTTCATAAAGGAATTTACATTTGTGCATATAACTTCTTTCTTTTCTTCCCTTTTTGTAGTGGGTGGTCCCTGAGGTGATTGGCCATGCTGTCGTAACTGTCTTAATGCTTATTTCATTGCACTGGTTCATCTTTCTCCTTAATTTGCCAGTAGCCACATGGAATATATATAGGTAAGTGCAAAGGGGTTTGTGTGCTTTTTTTTTTTTTTCTGTCATTGTTACTTAGTTTATCTTTAGGTGTAGTATGAAGATAAATAATAAGTCATAATGAGATGTTTCACTTGGGTTCTTGAGTTGCTGACCATCTTCGTGGATCTGCCTAACATAAAACTCTCCTCTGCTTGCAATCAACATTACAAGAAACCCACCAGTGGAAAGGATTTTGGCCTTTCCTTGCTTTCACTCTAGTGCCCAGGAATCTTGATTTGTGAATCATTCCCAAGTTTGTGGGAAGTAATAGCCTGCTAATTGGGATTATGAAGTAGTTCTGCAAACATAGTTGTTAATGTTTTTCATGCCGTGCCCACATACCTGATAGCGATATCAGCATGAAAGCACTTGGGTCAGCAGGGCTGATGGCTGTAAAACCGTCGGGCTCTGGTGTTACCCCCCACACCCTTCTTCCTCTGCTGTCTTGTCTCTTACCCTCATTTGCATTGATTTTGGTCCCCCGTCTTGCCTTCTTGTATTTGGAATTTTTTTGCAGACTTTTCATCTTATGACAACTGCCAGTGTTACTTTGTATAACTGGGCCATCCACCACTTGGAAACAGTTTACTGGTCAGTAGGGGTTTCCATGTGGCAACATCAGGACTGCTGGGTCAAAAATGTTCCTTTTTTCTTGTATCATTTGATGAGTGGAGAATTGAACATTTACGCGTGATATGTTCATTAGAATTTCTTTAACTGGGTGTGGTCTTGTCACAAATTATCTCAATCACTGTACTACAGGAAGTCCAAAAGTTTACGATAGAGGCATGAAAAGTTAGCTGTAATTCTTGTTTGCCTAAACCAGGTAGTGCTAACTATTTGCAGGGATGGGTCGAGTTGTTGGTAAAAGCAAACAAGAAGTTTCGTATTTCTCATTAAAATGAAGTCGTGTATCCCTTTACTGATAACCTCATTGTTCTTGGGCAAAATAACCCTGCATTTATGACCTGTTTTCTGCAAAACTGTTAGCAAAGCCTTCACTTCTTTTTAAGCTGGAGTTAAGGTGAGACAGTATAACTTGTATGCTTAATAAACAAATTTTGCCTAAATGCACATACATAAGGATAGTTTTCTATACATACAACTGTATTATGCACCGTTGCACAAAATGACTTGTGCTCCCTTTGGTATCTGCTGGCAAGTGGAGTTTGCATTTGGTTTTTCATTTATGCTGAGCTGTTTCTACGGAGACAGTAAGAGAGAGAATGCAGTTTCTTTAAAGCTTTGAAGATTTCTTGTACTGGTTATCCCTTCGCTGCATCCTTTTCATGGAACCATAGAATGGTCTGGGTTGGAAGGGACCTTAAAGATCATCTTGTTCTACCCCCCTGCTCTGGGCAGGGACGCCTCCCACTGCACCAGGTTGCTCAAAGCCCCATCCAGCTTTTGCTTCCATATGTTAATGTTTAATGTTGCCACATGCGTTGACTTCTAAACCTGATCAGAGAAAATTTTAAAAGATAGTTATGTCTATTTCCACACCTCAGGCAGTAAGCTTTGACTGCTGTTTTGAGCTGACAGCTCTCATTTTATACCTGTCATACATGGGATAGACATCCTGAATATCCTAAAATCCAGGACCATTTCCTCAATTTTAAACGTCTGGTGTAGGTGATAAATGAAAATGACAATACGATACTTTGTCCTGCCAGAAGTCAAACTGTTAAGCCTATATGTCTAATCCCGCCTTGTTTCTGAGGACAGAGGCATTTCACCCACGTTAATAGTCTGGACTGTCATGTCTGTAGTGAAGGAGTTAGAGGTTTGCAAAGCAAGCGTGGTGTTTAGCATTCTGTAGGAAATCTGATGATTTGGGATAGAACTTACATTTGACCCAGTGTTCAGTGGATGAAAGATATGTTAGTCAAAAAAAAATGAGGAGCTGTAAAGTAGTTTGAATACACGGAAGAGAGGAGAAGGCATCGATTACTAAACCAGGATTGAGTGGAAACAGATGAAGTGTGAACCTGTTATAGTGAGCTGCAAGCTTCCAGCATCAGCTGAATGTGTTGGAATCTTCTTCATATGTTATAGTATTTCAGGTACCAATTTTTCAAGTAAATGTTGCTGCACATGAATTCAGAAAAGTTTAAGGTTATAATTTACTCTGAGATGACTACAAATACCAAAATAATTGTGTTGAGATTGAAGAAGTCTGTGCTTTGTGGTGTATCTGAAGTGATAATAGAGAGAAAGATGGGATAATATTCCCTTCTGCTTACTCTTTTTCCTTCAAAACATGCTTAATCTTGATGAGTAAACAGTTCAGTTACAGGCAGCATTGGCTTAATTTACTAATTGTCTCAATGATTTCAGTGAAAGCAGAGAGGTTTTGTGTGAAAGGGGCATCAGAAAGAAATCCTGAGGAAAATAAATTGGTCAAAAAACAGCATCAGGGGAGGCTTTCAAAGTGCAGCATGGTTATTTTAACACCCAATGGCATTTCTTGTTCAGCAAACTCAGATGCTCATTTAATTTGGTTTGGGTTTTTGCTGAATTTTGTAGTATCTTATACAATCTCTGGTGAGATGTAGTTTTGTCTTACATTCAGCTTGTTTTAAAACTAGATATTGAAGCAGCTTATTTAAAATCTATTCATATTTCAAAATAGGTATTTTTAGTCCTTAAATATTTCTTAGACTTGCTACTATGCAAAAGAAGCAAGAATTACAAACGAAGTGTTGAATGTGACTAGACAAAAAGAAAGAAACTCTTAAAATTGAACACTTTCCTTTCTTTGTTGTATAGAAGTGCTTGAGACAATAGGTCAAAATAACATGAACTGTAGTTCCTTAGATACATAATATGAGCAGTACCAGCTTGTGACCCCCTTGGAAAACCTACCTCCCAAGTTTCACAAGCTTTAATTAAGTTGCATCGTTTAAGTGTTATCACTGCTCTTAAGAGGCAAAATTGATAAATCCTGGAGATATAAGGAACCTACATGCACTATCTCTTTTTCTAAGAAAAATTGATACGGGGAAACTTGTGTTCTTCCTTGTAATGCATTTTATTTGAACAAATTTCCAGTAAATGGACAATATTTTTTGTTATAATATTAAAAATAGACTAATCGCTTAAAAATTCAAATTTAGAGGAGACTTTCAAACTGTAATTATTTCACATGAACTATTTTTAAAGGGACTTAATTGTCTTTGTTATTAGTCAAATATGCTGCAGTGCTTTTTAATGCTTCTGTAAAAGAAAGACCAATGCCACAGTCTTAACTTTTTCTTTTTTTTGGTCTCCTGCTGTTGCTAGAAAACATCCTCGTTTCTTGTACCCTTTAGTCCCCTCCTGTTATTGAAATGAGTGTTGTCAGAGGTGGGGGGATGCCTTTTGGAGGATAAGTGGTGCCATTCTTCAAGTGTATAGACAATCAGAAAGTGTTCTGTTCTGAGACCTTGCTCTTCCTCCGGTTCTAAGACCAAGAGTTGATTCCTGTGTAGAAAGATGTTAGTGCAGGAAGGCAGAGCCTGTGTGAAATCACACTACTCCTCTAGACTGAGCTGAGTGAGAGCTTCACGCGCCTGCGTTTGCTCTCTTGAGAAGTACTTATGACAAACACGTCGCTTGTTGAATTTTCACAGGGCATAAACATTTCTTTTGGTGGTTTTATTCTTCTTTTTGCTTACGTTTCACTTTGTTGGACTCGGCTTTTGTTCTGATGTGGACTGCGGCAGCAGCACTTCAGTTCTGCCCGATCTCATCCTTGTCAGCCTGAGTGTCCCTGTCGAGACCATGAGAGATGGTGGTGACAAAGATGGCAATAACACACGGATCCTTTCTCTTGTTTTACCCTGTCTCATTTTGACCACTGAAGTTTGTGAGTGGAGTTTTGTAAATAAATCTAATTCTTAGCTAAATTAATTCTTTTCCAGTCCCTTTCCACTGTGGGTTGGGTGTTTCATTCCTAACCCCAAATAACCCTGCAGAGCAATTAAAATGAACTGGAATCGGCTACTACCTGTAAACTCTCCCATTTAGACAGGAGAAGCTGGGCTGATGCTTTTAGTACTTCTTGTCCTCTTTATTTGTGGGTTGTAGTGGCAGAGACACATGCTACGTGCTGACACTGAAGGGGAATTAAAGAGGAGCTCTCTTACATTAAATTGTGAAACAGCTCTGTAGATGAAAGTCCCTTTTGTGCAAGCTCTTCTCCTCCCCATGCCCTGACACTCCCTCGTGTTTTGATTACTATCCTTTTGTTGTTTTTTTTTTTTTCCTCTTTAAACTTTTAGGTACATTATGGTTCCAAGTGGAAACATGGGGGTATTTGATCCCACGGAGATCCATAACCGAGGACAACTGAAATCACACATGAAGGAAGCCATGATTAAGCTGGGCTTTCATCTGCTCTGTTTCTTCATGTACCTTTACAGGTTAGTTTTGAGACTTGCTCCTGAGGAACAAAGGAATTGTCTGCCAGCTATTTTTATCTCCTCTATTGTGCTAGTATAATTGCTGGTATTCGTAAGTGTCTTATCTTTTTGCATCCTGCTAAGCCTCAGTGATCTCTCTTGACAGCTTTCTCCAGGGTCATTATATGCCTTTATTCTTTCTGATCAAACATGGTTTGGAAACTTGGACTACTCCTTAATCTCAAACCCACTACAAGTACAATACAAAGAGTTAGACAATTCCAGCACCTAGAATAAGTGGCCTATTTAGTTTATTTTACAGGCTGTGTTTTAGAAAACACAGCTGATCTGGCTAAGTTACAAACAGATGAGTTCTGTGATGGGGCCACTTACTAGAAGATGGAAGAACTTCTTTCTTCTATTGCAGAGTTACTTCTGCAGCCCCTGTCTTCATGAGCAAAGCACGTAGTTGCCTTTTATTTCAGAATGAAGTACCGTTCTCTTGTGAAAGCGATAGCAGTTCCTCCTTGCACACACCTCACTAATCTACTGGTATCGTGTTTTCTGTTTTGTCACAGTATGATTCTGGCTTTGATAAACGATTGAGACGTGGAAAAAGAACCATTAGCTGCCAAATTGGGTCATCACTCCAGTGACTGGTTGTGGAGCCACAGACACCTTCCGAACGTACCTAGATCAGTGTCGTCATGCGGTATATTTTTTCCTCTCTGAACAAGAAATATTTTTCTGTATTTTTACCATAAAATATTTTCGAAAGACGTTGGATTTGTGTAGTGGTTGTTTTTGTTCCTTTACAACCTGAACTGCTGGAGCTGCTGCTTCTGTAAAATTAAATCCTTGCTTAGAGAACTGATCCTTTAGGAATTAAATGGTGAGAAGGGAAACTCATTCCAGCAGCAGCGGCTGATAACAGTGGTTCCAGAATAAAATGTAAGCTCAGTTCTGCTGTCTGCTTCTTACTGAAAGGTGTCAGGATGTGCCTCTGGCTGTTAGGCTGTCTTGTTAGAGCCTGTTGGAACAGAGATTTCAGAGTGCAACAGGAACACAGCTCACAGCTTTGTGTCAGTGTTCTTGCCCACTAAAAAGCAATGGAATAAAAGTTGTGGTTTTCTCCCTTTCCACCCCTCCCTCCAACAACCTCTCTGAAGTCTCCTGTTTGGATAGATTGAGGTTCCTTTGATGAAAGTGACACTTGTGTGTAAGAGTGAAAACCAGATAAATCAGAAATGTGATAAATATTTGGTTTTTTTACTTCAACTCCTGTTTTGTCATTTAAATACACCGTAGACCTCCGTACAACACAAAAGAGCATCTGCAGCTGCTGCTCCTGAACCTGCTTTTTCCATCTCCAGTGAGGTGAATCAAGAGTACACCAAGTTTGGGAAGATGGCTTGATAAACCATAACCCAGTTATCCCAGTTCTGATGTAACTGCTTCAAAGACACCAGCAAACTCAGTTCTTTTTGTGCAGCTTTTGCATCAGCGATAAGTATATAAACCCGAGTTTGTACTCTTGCTCTCTTTAAATTTTTTATATGTGCTTTGAAACAAACACACCAATACAGTTCTGTAATTTATGAGCTTCTCCTTCTTCAGTACTTACTCTTTGGTGTAGAGCTGTAGTTGTTGCAGGTTGTTGTCATGGCCAGCACTGAAAAGACAATGCTGAAGCTTGATTTCTGTTTGTTCTAGGAAAAGTTCAGCTTTAAATTTATGATGGATGGAGTCCAAGTTCAGCTGTTGCAAAGATGAAAAACTGCTGAAAATTACGCTCATAAAAAAATAATAATAACTAAGCATTAAATAGCTCCTGCAGCTGCATCCCGCTGACTACCCCACACCACAAAAATCAAACTACAGGAAGTACCGCCTTATAGAGCTGAAACCCAGACAAGATGTAGGTCTGTGAAAAGGAGAGCAAATAATCTGTGAAGAGAGGAAAGTCAGCAGTTTTTGTAGCAGCTGATATGGTAGGCTATTGAGTTATCTTATTTGCCTGTGAAAAAAACCATACTACACCTATGTTGGGTTTCACACTAAGGAACATGTTCATTGATCTGGTAGTTCTATATCCCATTTTAAAGAAATTATTTTGAGTAAGAGCTTTGTTATGAATGGAAGAGTTTGTAAGGTACATTTGTCTTCAATGATTTTTAACTGCTAGGACCTCAGAATTCCAGTGATGCCATTAGATCAGGTGCATCTGTTCTCCAATGGAATTGGTAAAATTTATCACTTAGATTCTGTTCTCTGCTGGGGGAAGTGCTGCTTCAGAGATGGGAGCAGGACGGGGAAGGAAAAGGGAAAAGAACAACATATCTGAAAAAAAATAATCAAAATGAGGGTAGCATGTGTCTTCATTTATATCCCTGAGCGAGGGGAGTGTTATTGGGGATTCCTCCCCACTTCCTTCCTCAAGAGTGAAGTATTAACCACGATGGACCAACAGAAAAATAGATGGTGGTTGTCAAATACCAAACAAGCTGTACTTTTATATGAATGCAAACTTCTTACTCCACCCTTTTTTATATAAAGAAATTACCTGTTTATTCACATCTAACACCAACAACTTCTTGTAGTAGTTGCAAAAACTTCAGTAGCAGGCTCCAGAGATGACAATCCTGCCGACTAATTACATTGGCAGTTTTGAAGCCATCCTTACTATACAGGGTCGTTTCTTTGCCTTAACGCAGAGTATTTGTAATTGTAAATGTATTTGTAATTGCTAGAAATGTAATTGATTAGCTACAAACAGGGATCTTGCAGTCATCTCTCTCATGGGAGATCCACAGCGCACAGAAATGTTACAGTAGTAAGAACCAAAACTTCCCTACTTTCTGGGTCTCCATCAGGGGAGAACAGGGTAACTTAAATACAATCTTACTATACAAAATTCAAGATAATTACAAGCTTTATTTAAAATCAGTCTAAAGATTTACCTAACTTTATCACTATGAATTGGTGTGAGACCAAAACACAGATTCCCTCCTCTTCCTTTACTAGGATACATTTCCCTTTGGAACTAAGCTATCCAAGTGTAACTTCATGGGGGGACCATTAGCTCCCCCTTCAAATGATGAGCTATGATTTATAGAAAGCTCTTAATCCATGAAAATAAAGCTGAAATTGGTTTACAGGAATTGTAACTTTTAACCAAGGTTATGAAGCTCTTTTCCTTAGCCCCAGTCTAGAGCCTGGTCATCCTGTGAAGATATTGGCCATTGAAGAATCTTCAGAGAGATTAGATCAGTTCAAGTATGTACAATAGCTTATCCCCCCCCTAATTAATCATGTTATAGACTGTTGGTTATTTATCTTGTTTTATTAAAGACTGTATTGATCTCATTCTAGTAAACTACTGTTTTATTCTGAAATATTATGGAACACAGGAAATCAGTGGGATCAATAGTATGACCAGTTCCACATGCAGGTTAACAATCAACCCGAAACCCTGATAAAAGATTTGCTTTTATGGGTTTATCTGTTCAGTACTGACGTAGCTTTAATCTCATTCTTTTTCTCACAGGATGCTCTCTAGGATTTTGTACAAATGGTAAGAAAAGACCTTTCTAACTCTAAGGATATTATAGTAACAATGAGATTGGAGGTGGTGGGAGAAAAAAAATGCAGTTATCAGTACATCAATGACTTTGTCTTTGGCAGAAATGTTAGAGACACAAACATGGGCAGTTTCTCTGCTCAAGCAGCACAGAAAGCACAGGCTAAAGGGTAAAGTAAAAGCAAACCAGAAAGTGTCCCTTGGAGAAGTGCCCCACCTCAGGCAGAGTTTGGATTTTAGCTAATTACAGAATGTTCATCCACTACAGCTTCTTGGAAACAATCGGAAGGGTTTAAAAGAATAAAAGTGACGATTAATTTTAAATCTTGCACCTGCTGAAATTTCACAGTTCTATAGAAAATACCAGCACCCAAGGGAAGTAGAAAGGAGTAAGCCATAATTATCTATACCCTGCTTGAACTGGGATGGAGGGAATCAAGTTAATACAAAGGTGCTACTAGAGAAAGTAAAGCCCTTTTCTAATTGATATAGAAGCTCAGAGAATTAAAAAATTGAATGTGCTTCAGTAACAGGTTTGAGCTGTAAAAAGCTACAGGAAGGGGAGGGTAAATTTAAGCTGATAAAATAAATAAATACACCTAAAACACAGATCAAACACAATGTTCTGCTTTAAGGCAGAGGGAAGAACAGAGCATTAGTCAGAGGGAACAAAGGCACCAGTTAAGAAGTAGCTTCAAGACCGCAAAAGCTGCTTGGGTCGACTCCAGATAGAAGCCCAGAGGTCCCTCATCTCCAGTTTAAGAGAAGCATCTCCAAGCTTCTCCAACCATCTTCAAGCAGGAGATGCAGATACCAAAGTAACAAATACCACAAAAGCCACTGAGCACCTACAGCAACCCGTGCCGGGTATTTAAGGAAGGACCAGCATTAGGGAATCAGGGTTTTATGGAGCCTCAGATGTCCCAAAAGTCAGAGAAGCACAGAACTGGACACCGGCAAGTCGACCCCTAAATGCAGAGTGAAAACACAAGCAGGAAGTAGGTTAGAGCCAAACATCAACAACTGGAGAGACTTCACCCAAAACTGAGTGAATTCACCTTCAGCTGAACTGCCACAAAGTGATTTTCCTAGGGAGAAAGTGAAATACTACAAATAGGCAAGAAATCTATAATTAATGATCAAGCAATTAACAGCTGAGTCAGTCGTATAAGTGAAGTTAGGGAAACTAAGGACTATTCATTCCAGTTGTTTATTCTGTTTATTGAATTGAAAGAAAGGGAATACAAACATTTCTGTTAAGTGCTGTGCACCAACATGGAAAAAGTGTATTTTTTTTTTAAAAATCCTAATAAAAACAAATCAGAAGTTAATGTAGTTCCAATTGAACAATTTTTTTTTAAAGATATGTTTAAAATACTACACATTTATAAAATAAAAAAAGTTAAAACGGTGTTCTGTAAATAATTAGTAAAACAAGTGAAAATAAATACGAGACCCAAAGTTCTTATGTTTTTAATGTAATATAGCAAAGAAATTTTTAACTACTTAATATAATCCGAGGAGAGTAACAAAAATCCAGAAAGTTTAAGAACGCAATCCTTTGAAACATTTAATATCAGTCCATAGCAAATAGTCATTACATACCAAAAGCTCTAAGTGTTAACTAGTTCCACCACAACTCCATATAAATCTCGACAATTTAGAAATCTTGAGATCAACAATAAAGTTCTTTTTTTCTTTGATCTCTACAGCTTGGTTTGTAAGTACATACATGCTTTGAGGATCCGTTTTGTCCCATGTGTTTTCAAGGAGCCAATAACTTTTTCCATCTGTGCCTAAAAATGTTAGAGATTCCAATCTAAGCACATAGACCCTAACGAGGGAAAAAAAATGTGTAAGGGGGGGAAAAAAAAAAAAAAGAAGATGGGGCACGATGAATTTCAAATTTATAAAAATATACTGATATTAACCAAAAAACCTTCTGGTCAAAGGACACTTCACATACACACAACTTAAAAGTATGCAATAAAAGGGGACAAGTACCTAGAGCGTTGGGTTCTCTGTCTGTTGGTGGTTATGCAATAAAAGGGGACAAGTACCTAGAGCATTGGGTTCTCTGTCTGTTGGTGGTGGGACACACACACACACACACTCACACCCCACGGGAGGAACACGCTCACGGACCTTTCGCTGAACCCCCATTCGAGAATCTGGATTAATCCAGAGAATTCACATCCTCTGGATGAACAGACAGAAAAACTCCTCTACAGTTTATTTCCACAACTAGAGACAGCTACTGCAGCAGTAGTTCAACACTGCACACTTCAATTAAGTCCACCCTGTTTTAAAAAAAGTGTCGGAGTTAATGATTTTTTTTTAATTTTTTTTTTTTTCCTTTCTAAACATCATTTAAAAAGTAGCAGTTTTCAAAATTAAGTATGGCAGCTGAAAATGGACTCGAGCCCATGTGGAAAAGACAGGAGGAGGCCCAAAGGAGGATTAGCCATTTATGGGATGGGTATTCCTCTGAATAGTTGTCTCAAAAAAAAAAAAAAAAAGAGTGTATTTTGTAGCTAAAAATATGGACAAACTATTGAAAGTGCATTTTTCCTCCTCCCCCTTGAGTTACAGTAGTTTGTTGGTCAGTAAATCCTGCTTTTTCTGAGCATTCCTCTTTCTCTCCATCCCTCCCCATTTGGGTCTAGATATATCTCCTCTCAAACTAGAGCTAATAGCAGGAGGTTTCCTGCTGAGAAAGCCATCAAAAGCTGGTGTGGGGTGGGAGTATGGCTTAGCAGGGTAGAACTGTACACCTCCACACAAACTCCCAAGAACACACTGAGTTTCAGTGAACATTACCTGTTTGAAGCCCAGCTGAGAAGCAACTGGCGATATCTGGATAGATTTCAAGCTTGAATCTTTCCTCTAATCATTAAAAGTTAAACTCTAAAGTTGGAGAACTTTAGAAAAGGCAGAGGGAGTTTAAAACAAAGGTGTTGTTTCCCCCTGCTGCCCTCCCCTCCCAAACAAGGCCAGATCTAACATCTTCCCTTTTGTGCTCCATTGTACCTGGAACATTTACTTACCTGAACAGCTAAAGAAAATTCAGATAATAAAATACTTCAGTGTCATCGATTTGAAAGATCTGCCTCAACAATAAGCTGGGGCGACAGTGAATATTTTAAGCCAACCAGAGAAGAGTTTTGGGAGGAGCACATGCTTACAGTATTTTCCTCTCACAAACCATGGGTCTGCTGACTCAAAATACAGTGATTTATTGGGGGTGCGCGCTTGTTCCAGCCTTAGACTCCAGCCTACGAACATTTTTAAGCACATGGAAATCAACGTGTTGCAAATGAGCAAACTTGGGTTTTCCCCCCTCCCCCCCACCGTAGTCTCATTTTATCGTCTGTGCACAAAAAGTATTGGTACTTTTCAATTCACATATTGTGAATATGACATGTTGGAAGTAGCTGAGGTTCCTCGTTAACCTACAGGTTGGAATGGCACTCGTTACCGCTAGATCTGTAACGTCAGGTCACTGTTGGACCAAAAATGAAGATTCCTCTCGCCTTTCTTCCCTCTCTGCTCATCCCCTGTGATGAGCACGGAGCTATGGAATATGCTGTTACTGGGACACGCTGGAAACTGTGCCCTTTCTATGCAGCTTTCCTTTACGTGGCACGGTTCTACCACAAAACTAAAGGGAAAATAGCAGAACGTGAGCTTCTCCCTAACCTTGCTTCTAAATTGTATTTGAGAGGTACCTACCGAGTCCAGAAGAGAAACCCCTGAACAGAGGGGCAGGATTTTGGCAAATATATGGTTAAATTTCTACTTATGATGCATTGCAGTGGAAAGTAGGCATCAGCCCATCCTTACCTTTACCAGGTAAAGAGCCTCACTTTGCTTAGATACGTCCACCACATTAAAAATGCCCATTTTAAGCACATATGAGACTTTAAATTTACACTTGAGGTTTGATCCAGCCTTCACCCCCTGCTTAAAGTTCCCACTGAAGCCCCGGGAGCACAAGGCAAGTGGTGTCAAACTGTTGTGTGAGACATCGTCAAGAGACATCAAACCCAGGATTATCTTCCTCACTCTCCCTAAATAATGTTTCATTTGAAAACATAAGTTCCAGAGTAAAACAATACTAGGGTAACTTGCAAAGAGTCACATACTGCCATTGCTAATGAAATATACCGTGTTTTGAACATATAGAACACTGTTGACAATTTAGGTACTCCATTTTTATTTAAAACCCGAAGGTTTAGCTTACTCAAATCTGAGCTTGGGAAATTGCCCGTTTCCCTGCAAGACCGATGCCACAGGAGCAAGACTAGCTTTAGGCTGCCTGAACCAGGCGGAGAAACAAACAGCTGCCTCAAGAACTGGCCAGCAGAAAGTGGAACAGATTTATAGTCTGAAGTTTACACACACGGACCGGCAATTGCCATCAAAGAAATTCACCTTAATTTTAAGGCAAATGTACCAGATTGATGATAAGAACATGAAGTTCCTACTTCACTTTGAAGGTACTAAAAGAGCAGTTTGTCAGATTCAGGGCTGGTCTAAACCAAAGTATCAGAATTCATTTTGCACACAAGGCAAGAAAAAAAACAAACCACACCACCAACTGATGGCTGGAATCAAAAAAGTTAAACCTTCTAACCTGCTAAGCCCCACTTTGTTTGTCTGGGAAAGAAAAAAGGGACTGTTTATGTTAAACCACATTCCCATTCGTCAAAGTGGCTCCACTTCTCTTCCCAGGAACTCCGGCAAACCTTCCCCCCACCTTCTTCCACACATGACTAATAAGGACACTAGATCATTAGCTCATTAAAGGATGAGATCCCCACTCCTGGTCACCTCAGTTCTCGGTGGCATTCCTTTCCCTGCTCCCTCTTCACTTCCCAGCAGTACCAACACTACCTTCCACCCAGGGTGGCAAAAGGGAATCCAGTGCCATCCCCTAATGAACCTGTGCGTAGTGCAGAAGCACAGAGGTGCCAGGCCATCTGTTTACATCCAAAAGAATAAATAGTTAAGTTATAACCATCTTTCTCTTTTCTTGACGTGGGCTATCAGTGGAACTATTCCTAGATGTGTCAAGGCGTTCACAGCACCAACTCACAACAAGGTCTGGGAGAGGCATTTAAATCTGCAAACTTAAAAGTATAATCTCAAGAAAGAAAACTCTATACACCTTTGTTTATCAAACAGAGAAAAGCTTCCATCGTAATACAAGTGTTTAATTACCATTTGTATGTTAATTACTTTTACAAAACATCGACTTTGTGAAGAAAGGATTCAACGCATTCTCCCCTCAAGATGTGGCCTACCTTTTACCAGTGGTGTTGCATACATTTATGTAATTAAAAAAACCTCATCTTGTTTAAGCTCTTAGTCTGGTGATGCCCTCTGACCTCTTTTTCCCTAAATGTCTGTAAAGATGGACAGTGAGTTTCTCCCTCTAAAACAAGCTTTGCTGCCTACGTAAAGCTCTTTCCAGCCACTGCCTTTGACAGGGTCTCAAGACACTCCAGCAAAGCATCAGTGATCCCGTGTTTCACAACACTTCTTGCATCGTTTTAATTCCAAATGTATACAAATGAAGTCACTTTAATCCTATAAATAATTTATTTTTAAAAAATTGTGCTGTTAACCCCTTTTGCAGGGCAACGAGCTACGTGAAAAGTACAAAACTTTTTGTCAAATGTGATACTGAGAGTGCTTTTTTGACATAGTTCCTTGGGTTTTTCATCTCAATTGATAAGATACTGCGCAACGGGCAAGGCTAGAATCCATGAACCAAGCTGCAAAGATCTCAAGCTAAGTAAGGCGGAGAGAGACTTGAGAAACAAGAGAAGGAAATACTTTCCTATCCAATGTATACTCTTCAGACTAAAGCACTCGTTCTATCAAGCCTTCTAAACTGTTAAATAAAGTGTTCCAAACAAGCATTTAAACTTCATTACACAGAAGAGCAACGAGAACAGTAGCCTGCCGGACAAAAAGGCAGGAGGGAAAAAATATATATATTGAGTTCAATGGTTAGCCTGAATGTAGCACAGTTCTTCACAACCGATGGGGGGGTAATTTCAACACGGTGTCCAACAACGTTCTAACGACGTGCTTCATCTCGACTGGTTACTATGAAGCAAGGTGGTAAATGTTTGGCCCCAACCGGGCTTCAGAAATGGTTCTTTTTCATGACGAGCATGTCTGTCCAGCTATCAATCATGTTTTGTTTGCACCAAATCCCAAGCCATTTAAAATACGACTAATTAAGTTAAACTGAAGTCGTCTGCTCCGAATTCGCCATCAACTATCCATGCTACTGCATTCCTCTGAGCAAAAACAAGAACATAAGAGAAAGAAATCACACCTTGAAGATCTTATCAATAGTTAGTATTTCTACTATAAGGTCATTAATATGGTATATTTACATAAGTTTTACTGAACACACATTAGTTAATGGATCTGTATCTAAATCCCATCTAACTAAATCCCATGTGAAAAGTTACTTATTTTAGATATCATTATTTTTATTAATTTAGCATGTTAGGCTTCGGTACACAAAAAGCATCTCTTCCAAAGAGAAGTAATACACATTTACATTCCAGTTCCAGGGAAGCGTGCTAATTACCAAGCTGTCATCCATTTAAGATTCCTAAATTGTTGGATATTATTCCATGCAGCTACACCTCTTATGGAACACTTGCCATGAGAAATCCAAGCACAGGAGAGGAGGTAATTCTTCCCCCTAATATCCCTCCAACTTCCAGCTACTTCCACCTGAGGGACATTCTGAACTATCCTTTTTAATTTTATTTTTTTTTTAGTTGTCTACTGATCTAGTAGCACTCAATGGATTTCTCTTTCATTACTTTGTCTGGGCTCACTTGTGTCCCCACCTCGTATCCATGAGGTCCTGGAGCAATGGGATATATTGTGTTTCATTCTCATGTCCGCTGTAAATTTTCACCACCAGGTTGAATGTGTAACAACAGAAGCCCATAAACTGTAGAACCACCCCCTGATGGTCACCTCGTTAACAATTCTGGGGGGGAGGTAAGAAAGGTTGGGTAACGTGTGCATTTTGGCAGCAAAAAAAAAAAGCTGTATCGTGTCTCTCTCCTGGACACAGACGATTGCTGATAGGTAGGAAAGAATCAATTGGGTAAAGATTTTACCAAATTGGTGGTGGGAAACTTCCCCCTCTCCAGACTTTACGGATTCCTTTTGTAAGTACTGAATAATGGCATTACAATTTGCAGTGTGGTGAGAATGCATCTGCTAAATTTTAATACTAGTGTATGTTATTAAACCTCAAGCATCAGAGGTAAGACTTTTAAGAATTCTACATAAATAAGTTAACATAATCCTGAGGTCTTTGTGACACCAGTTTTCTATAGGGCCATGTCAGAAATTTGAGTATCATTTTGGAAATACCAGTTGCTTCCTTTTTATTCTACAAACGTAAATAACTAGATAAAAATCAACAGCTGTACATTAAAAAAATAAATCAGTAACTTTTTTTTTGTAAAAGCAATGATTCTAACCCAAGAGTTCATAGAATCACAGAATGCTTAGAGCTGGAAGGGACCTTAAAGATGGAGTTCCAACTCCCCTGCTATGGCAGGGGACACCTCCCACTAGACCAGTGCTACTTCCCCAAAGCTCTGCTTTGATGGGCACTGAGGTTTGCTTCCCATCAGACACTACCTGGGTCACAAACTGCTGATGGTCAGATGTGGGAGGGGAAAAAAAAAAAAAAGTGTCTCCAGTGACCAAAAAACCTCAAGAAAGGTCTCTGACCTGTAGCAAGATAGTTGAAGGTGTGTGTGAACCCATGGTCCCTAAGAAACGTGCAGTGTTTTCCACCTAAATCTACATATTACTCAGAAGGAACATAGTCCTTGCTCCCCTACTCCTTTACATGCTCCTTGGCCAAGGTACCTCACTGAAACAATTGTGTCTCGGTCTAACGATGACCCTACATCGTGTGGCACCAGCTGATGCTGCTCAGAAGTGTTCTCCAGCTTTTAAATGCTATTTAAAAAAAAAAGTTAAAAGCGTTTTTCTATCCTATTTATGGTAAAGAAAATTCACCAAGCTAACTGCCTTTGATGTAAGCTTTTAGTGATGAGAGAACACACACACACACTGGTTTTTACCTTCAATATCCTGGTTGTCTACGAAAGGTGCCGGTCCCCATATTCTAACAGTGCCATCGTCAGAGGCGCTGGCCATCATGGATGGTATCTGTGGGTTCCAGCTCACACAATTAACGGTGCGCGTGTGCCCCGTCAGCTCGGCGATCGGCAGCTCGCTACGCTTGTGCCAAATATATACTTTGTGATCTAAACAAAAGATGCATTTAAAAAAAATTAACATGAAACGTTGTTCTGCACAGACACATCTGTCATATCAAATAGTGCTTCCACACCAGCTCTCAGCAATTAAAAACCCATTAATGTTGCAAAAGCCACATCTAAACCCCCTCTCTGTTGAATGTGCAACAGCACTAAAGTTTTTCTTCTAAAAGTGATCAAAATAATACAGGTAAAGCTTTTCCACAAAGAGGCATGTTCCCTTTTAACTCTTGCAAGTCTGCTACACTTGGCCTTTGAAGAAAAAATATTTGAGTACAATGCAAATAAGCCAATACACAACTAAATAGAGAAACCAAGCTACTCTTAAAGATATAGATTTGCAATCTTATTCAAAAGATTAAAGTATTTTTTTTCCTCAATCATATTTAGAGATTAGTACATGGGTTATAAAGTTATGAGTACTAACAGAGAATATTTACAGCTACCACCTGTTGATGAGCACTCGGTAAGATCACTCTGTAGTTTATGAAATACATCTTGATACTAAAGACCTCAAACATTCCAGGCAGAGTGCAAACAGAGAAAACAAGGGAGGACAACAAAGCTGAATGTCTCAAATTGTGAGCTATTACCGTCTCTGACAACAATTAATTCTCGTGTGGTATTTAAAAATATGAATTTGTACCTATTAAATAAAGTAGCTGCAACAAACAGCCCTACAGATCTTATTTTATGATAGGAAGCTTTTAATTACTTCTAGCAACACACTAGAAATAGACTAGTGAACTGCTCAGACCCTCCACTGCTTACTGCTTTATAGCCAACCATATTTAAGAATAAATGACTAAAGGTGGTTTGATGTTTTTTTGGGGTGGTGTTTTTTTTTTATCTCTCAACCATAGAGCAGCAGCTTTTAACAAGCCTGACCTCTCTAGGAATGCCTTTGGAATATTCCAAACAGAGCTATACAAACTGAACAAGTACACATTACTAGTATTACACAAAAGCCTAGCATTTAGGTCTAGCGTATCAAATGAAAGTATTTTCATCTATTTGAAAGGTTTTAATGTAGATGTCACTCTGAAGGCTTAGCAAACAAAACAATCTTCCTCTATTCCTCCACTAAACCCTTACAAAACAAACTTTCTCTCTGACCTACCTGCTAGAATATCATCATGGAACCATGTGATAAATCAATTGTCTTCTGCTGAATCAGCTCATTTTGATCATATCACCTTTATAGATGCATATGTTCTGGTGGTCTTTACATTCCACTTAGGGTTTCAAGTGACTACACATCCAGGCTATTCATCAAACAACACAACTCACTCCCTGCCTAAACACTGGACCTGCAAATTCTCTGAGAGAATCAAAGCCTAAACACAAACTAGTATTTTGGCGCTTGTCTGAAGGCCTGTATTTTGTTTTGGAAAAAAGTTAACTACGTTAAGGCAGAAGTCAATTCCCCTCTCATTTCCTTTCTAGTGATGCAAGCGTTAGAAAAAAGCCTGCCCAGCTGACGATGTATCTTAAGAGATCGTGACAACCTATTACTTTTTAAAAAAAGGCTATGACAATGTGATTTGTTATTTCAGTTCAGTTTGCTTGTTTGTGGCTGCTCTCTCAGGAGCCACATCTGCAAGAATTCAGTGTAAAGAGGCAACAGCTTCAACCTAAGAAAAGTGCCATCAGTTTCACCTACTGCCCAGTAGTTTTTAGAAAATGAAAATAATAAAAAAGAAATAAACAAACAGGGGCAAAAAGGACTGGTGCACTGTAGTATTTACAACTACACATGCACAAACACAAATCCTGAACTTTGGGGTACTCAGGTACCAAACAGGGAACCTTTTTCCACCATGAAGAGGTTCTCACTGGACTGGAGGTGCCATCCTTCAGCCACTATGTTCCACTGGGTCTGGTCACAGGGTGAAATTTGGTTTTATTTTAGACATATTTGGTATTTTCCAGAAAAGGATAGTAGTAAATGTCCTGGCCAACCTTATTTCCTAACAGCTGGGAGTTACATAGCACTAATAGTGATTGCTTACATACTCCAAGTGTAAATCTTAGCCCTACATAGGCTTGAATCTTAAGTGACCTCTGTAGGAGGTGATGGCACCGCATCAGTGGCAGAACTGAACCAATCATATAAACCCTTAACTAATTTCTATCCTTGCCATGGATGGTTGGATAAAAACATACTACAAAGCCTTTGATCACCAAGAAACCCTACCAGACTATGTCAACAACTGCTTAATTGGAGACTATGCTTAATTTGAGACTACTCTGTCCATAATTAAGATGATGACTCTATTGAAATTAAAATAACCTCACCACACCTATATCTTCAACAGGCAAATGAAGCTGTTATTCCCCAGAAGTAGTTTTGATTCAAACCATGAGCCTAAGTACCACACTGCAAAAAGAAAAAAGCCTCAAGAACACCCCACCCACTTCTAATTAAAACTGTGCAGGTGCTTTTGCTTAAGAGGAGCAACAAAAAGTGTCATTAATGCTTCCTAATACTACTGTCCTCTCGAAAGATTCTTTCTGCCAGCACACAATGATTTTATGAAGTATTCCACAATCTCAGTGCTTCTCAAACTTATTTAATGAACCAGTTGCTTGCTTTTATAGATGATAGTTGCTTAACAACAACATTATAGAAGTAAGGTACAGGAAGGATACAGCGTTCCAGTTTTCTGCACAAAGGGGAATGATGTTACCTTCACTGCCACTCGCAATGAAATCTTCATTATGACCTCCAAAACACGAGTGAATTGTGTAAAATCCTTGTGTAACACCTTGATACTTTCTCACTAAAACTCTGTCTTGTAAGTCCCATAAGTGAACTCCCTGGGAATAAGTAGTATAAAGAATGTTATTTTACCATTAAACATTATTAATTGCATTTTTTTAAGTGCTAAAAAAAATTAGACATGAAAGTGCATTACTTTAGCTAACTTCAGTACTGTTAATGGATCAAAAGAATAAAGATATATCAAATTACTAGACTGAACTTCTAATCTGCAGCCCCTTCTGTTCTGAAAGCTCCTAGTCTTACCCAAGGTTCCAAAAGTAGAAATAAATAAGTAAAATCTAATTCTCACACCCCCCAGACATTTCAACCTGCCACAACTCTGGCTGTACCCGGCTTCTCAGTGCAATAGCCAGATATTAACATTTAATAGTACATATTTCATAGTATGAAACTCTTGACTATAAATCAGTCAAAAAAAGAGTCTCAAGAGTAAGATTGCCTTCTTGTCAGAGAAGGCCATGCCATACTTACCAATGCTAAGGCCTTCCTATTACATGAAATACAACTGGTTAATATCAGACATTCCAATTAGCATCTAAATATTTAAAAACAGGTAGCACTTGCAAGCAGACTCGTTTACATTTCCATTTATCACCCCCAACTCACCTGAGTTGCTACATTTAACAAAGCTAAGCGGCCATTTTTTGAAATAGTAAACGACATAATAGGGTGATCTTCTTGTACTCTGAAACGATAAGACACATCGGCATTAAGACTTCATCAAATGATGCAACACCAAGACAAAAGGCGTGTCCTGTCTCTGCAACATTATGGCGGAAGACAGTTCTGAATTTGGAATTAGGAATGTCTCTGTGTGTCAGTACAAACCAGGTCTGCAATTGTTTGCTCACACAACAAATCCCAACACCAAAAGGGACTTCAGACCTCAAATCCAACCTCTAACTTCAAGGAAGGATCTACTAAAATATGCCAGGAATCGAGATGAAGATAACTCTTGGTAACAGAAACATCAAAACACACACCAGAAATGTACTCGGGTGCTTATATGAAGTTATTTCTAATATTTGATCGAATGCTTCTTGCTACAACTGGAGGTCACTAACTCTTGTCCCATGTTGTTCTCCTTTTAATATTGAGAGCATTTTAATAACATTTCCCATCCTGGTCCACCAACCCTTCCTCAACCTTCTTCTGACACCCAGAACCAGCAGTTCAAAGCCAAAAAAAGAAGTAGTTACATGTTCCTGTCTGTAAGATCCTCGAAGTTATAACCCCGAATTCGCTGGTGTGTGTCCGACGCTAGAACGGTTTTCCCATCACTCAAGCACCAAAGGCATTGTACTCTCACCCCTTCCCAGGAGTCGAGGAGATTACCATCTAAATCCTGGTCAGGAGAGAGAGGAAAAAAAACCAAACCAAAACAAAAAACCTGTTAGTCTCAAATTTTGAGTTGTGACAAGAGTATATTTTGCTCCTTCTGTTCAGACTGCTACAGAAAGCAGTTTTACCCTGTAAACTTAATGAATTAGGGCCCTGGTTGTCTTAACCAAGAGCTTTGCTAGGTGTCTGTCCTGGAGAATGCCTTTCATCACTTATTTTTTTGTGCATGACACGTGCAATCTGCGTAAGGTGACAGAGCTCCCCTTTGCAGTGAGTGAAGTTTGTGCACCATGCTACTATTATTCACCAATTCTGATGACAAATAATCAAAGTAGGGTGAGACCGTGGGCCACCATCCAAAACCAACACTAGCCATGGAATGAGGTTTCAAATTTCTGTTTACATTAAGCAAAGACAACATGCAAAAACTAAGGAAGACATAGTAAAAAAAAAACAACAAAAACCAAAAGACAACCTGTGGAATAAACAACATCTGTGGACAAAGGCATTACTTTTTATTAATGTATTTTCTAAAGCAGCTAAGAAAAAAATTCCCAGTCCACAAACCCTCCTTTAGGCAGAGGAATCCCTCTACACTTGCTTGAATGCCTCTAACTGCTACAAACAGAAGTGCTGCTGAAATAATAGCATTAATGTATTGCTTCTTTGAATTACAAAGGATCAGAAGCTTTAGTGTATGCACACATGAAAAAAACATGAACCTCAGATATGACTGTGATAGAACCCCTTCTTGCTTTGTTTTCAAGGGTAAAATGCAGAGAACTTACACACTGATAGAACTGCCCGCGCTGACCTCCCGTTACAAAACGCTTCCCATCAGGATTCCAGGCCACGCTGGTTA